GAGAGGAATGTGGCTCCTGCCTTGTCCAGCTCACGGGTAAGGGAGTCTCTTCCCCTGCCTTTCCCCAGCACAGGAAGAGGCTGGAGAGGCTTTGCCAGAGCTGCAGGAGGGCAGAGGTTTCCCCCAGGGTTTTCCTGCCTCGTGCTGTCCTGTGTGTCTGCCCTGAGAGGGGCAGCCAGGGCTGGAGGCCACAAGGTCAAACCTCAGAGGTGAGTGACTACTCCTGGAATTTCCTAGGAGAGAGGAGAGACTGGGAGCCTGGAGCAGGACAAAGGAAAGGAGAGGGAGCATCCTCTAGAGAAACAAAGCAAGGATCTCCGTGAGGGGAACTGCTGTCCAGGGAGAGGAAAAGCAGAGGTGCAGATCCAGGCTGGATGTCAGGAAAAATCTCCAGCTGCGGGGAACTGCCCCCAGGGGGGTGAGGGACGTGTCAGAGCTCTCAGACACCTTTGTCCTGTAAACACCGGCCTGCCTGGGGCGAGGGAACAGGTTTGGTGACTCCCTGGGCTCCAGCCCCGGCTCTCTGGGATCTGGGTGCTCATCCTGGCTGGTGAGAGCCCTGTCCCCCCATAAACACCCTTCTGGGACCTGGAACAGAAGGATTATACAAATGAAGCTGTTGTAGGACTGTAATTTCAGAGGGTTTGTTTGGTTTGGGGTTTTTTTTCCCTTACCATTAGATATTTTTTTTTTCCTTTTCTTTCCCCTTTACTAAAAAAAAACCCCAAAACCCTTCTTTTGTGCACTTTGGACCGAGCTTGTCATATTTCTTAGAGTCTCCAGTGACTCCTTCATGCTACAGACTTTCTGGAGTCCTCCTTGTTAGACCCAGGACTACATGATTCATTGTGTGCTGGAGATTTAATACTGCACGTAAAACAGCCCCGGTTCAAATTTGTTTTCTTTCTTTCCCCCCCCTCCTCTCTTTTTTTTTTTAAATTTTTTTTTTAATTTCTTGGCTTCTCTCTTACATCCTGGAATTTCATTTTTTTTTTTTTCACGAGATATAAAATAAATACATTCCCAAATATGTCCAGGAGGAAATGATCCGGTTAGATTTTTCAGCTGCTGGTTTTTAAGGCCTTTTAAAACAATTTGGTGCCGTTCAGCTTGCTCAAGGGATGGGTTTGTGTGTTGGGAAGACCCTCTCCCACCTCTCCTGGGCTACTGAAGATCCACATGGCTCCATGAACAGCTGCATTTGGAGATGTGTCTTCCTGACTGGAGACTTTTGGGATTGCTTTTCCAATGGTGAGATGTAGATTTTTAATGCCAAAAGGGACCTTTTTGGTTATTCAACCTGCTGAGTGCCATCCTTTAAGGTCACCAGCCCTGTAGTGACATGTCCCATCCTGGTATTGATCAGCAGGTGGTTCACTGGGCCTGGTGTCACCCATGTACTCAGCAGTCACTCAAGAGCAGTGGCTGGGATTGGCATTTTCCGAGGATAAAGTGCTCTGAGGGTCAGTGCAGTGATGACCTGAACCCAGGAAGAATTAGCTGAGCCCTTTAATTACAGGTTGCCTGTGTGAGGTGCCTCTGTCCTGCTGGAACTCCTCTTCATCTGCATTTGTTAAACACATGGTAATGAACTCCAGTCCCCTTAGCCATGGCCTGAGAATCAGTTTTTTGAAGGAGCCCAAGGCTGGGTTTCCTGGGATTTGGTCCTGGTAATGAGCTCTGAGAGCAGCTCTTGGCCTTTCCCAAAGCACTCCAGGAGTTTGATTTCTAAAAGGACCTCAGCACTGCAGCAGCAGGGTCAGCCTTGCTGCCCAAGGAGCCCATTCCCAGGATGCAGCATCCCTGGGGGAAGGTGGTGCTGCTCCCTGTGCTGTGTCACAGCAGCTGGGCAGGGTTGGCTCCTGCAGCACACGGAGACACTCGGACTTCTTGCAGGCCAGGAAATCTTGTTTCCCAGTGTCTTGTACTGCAGCTGAACGTCAGGATGCAAATCCTGTGACTCTCCTCGTTCACATGTGGATTTGGGCCCGTGGCAGAGCTGTTCTCTCTGTGCTCCAGTGACCTGAGCAGCTCCTGTGTGTGTGTGAAGATGTGCCAGGCAGTGTTCCTGCCCCCGTGCCCTGTGTAAACTCCTCAAGGATCCAATGCTATTCCTGGCTGCCATAATTCCTCTGCTCTGCTCAGGTAACTGCTTGGAAAGGCAGGGGGGGGATAATGATATGGAGTTTGCTTTGCTGATGTGTGCTGGGCCAGGCTCAGCTTGGGAATGAGGGCTGTCCCAGCCAGCAGCTGGGTCATGGGAGATGCTGCTCTTTGTCCCACATCAGGCTCCATCCCTGGAGACTCCTCCAGCTGGCACCCAAAACCACCTTTGCAGAGTGCATGTTTTTTGGGAGCTCTGCTCCTGGCTCTCCCTTTCCAGGTGGCCCCAAACGAGGCCTTTGCAGCACCTCTGCCTCAGAGAAGCGGGTTTTCCATCCCTCTCTGAAGGACTTTAAGCCACCCTGTGTGATCCCTGGCCACCCTCATGCTGGGAGCCTCAGCTCCTGGTCCCACACCAGGCTGTGGACAACCAGAGAAGGGGGTTCCTGCCCCCAGTGCCACCCAAACCTGCAAAAGCTGGGAAAGGGAAGGTGGCAAGCGGGGACATGGTTTGTACCAGCCCAGTGCTGGCCCAGAGGCCGTGGGTGCAGTTCCATCTCTCTTCCCTCGAGCTTTGCACAAGGTCTCAGCTTCTTGGCCGAGGAAAAAGCGCTCTCAAGGCTGTGACCACCCTTTGGGTAGTCAAGAGGTCACCTCCAAGAGTGGTCCTTGTGCAGGTGCATCCACCACATCCCCCTCGGCCTCCCCCCTGCTCCTGCTCCCGCCGCCATCCCAATCATCCCCAATCATCCCCAATCATCCCCAATCACCCAGCCATCGCGGCGGGGAGCCTGTGGATCCCGTGGCTGCCGGGCTGGCTCGGCACAGGCTCCCAGCCCTGCTTTCATTCCCCAGCCCGTAAACACGGCGGCTCCGGCGTTGCTTCCATGTGGTTCAGCCATCGCCGCTGTGGGGGCTGCAGCTTCCCGGCCGGGGTGGGGCTGGAATTGCTTCAGCCACCCGGCTTTAATCCACCTCTGTGGGTGAGTCAGTGCCCCCGGGGGCTCAAGTTGAGAGCTTGGGCTCACTATATATAGTCAGCGGGGCTGCTCGGAGGCACCTCGGGAGCTGCCCCTCCCCGCCGGCTCCCCGGGTACCACAGGCAGGGAGAAGTACCCCGAGATGGGGAGTTAAGCAAACCTGTTTTACCTAATGCTGGGCCCAGACAAGGAGCCCACCTGTGGTTGCCTGGTGCAGTTCATCCGTGGCTGAGGCAACTTCTCAAACCACTTGAATTCCCTCCTAAGACGCGTCTGCCGGCGCTGTCTCGCGGTGCAGCCCTGGGAGCCAGAGTTCACCCTCCCACCCCACAGGGTCACCACACTCTGCTCCTACGTCTGGGGGGCTGCCTGTGTGTCCCCTGTGCCTGCAGCCAGGCGCTGCTTTGGGGGACCAGGTGTCCCCATCACCCCACAGCATCTCCCCCGGCATCGCGGCTGCTTTTCCTGGACCCGCTGCTCCCGTTTGCAGAGGGCAAATATTTGAGCTGCCCTGGCAGCTGTGCCTCAGGCAGAGCCATCCCTGCATGGGATGCAGGTGCCCTTTAGGGCTGAAGCTCCTGAGCATCAGCAGAGAGGACCCAAAGCTCCCTGCCAGCGAGGTGATGGAGAAGATGGCTTTAAATTTGGGCTCCCTTTGTGCCTGCTGAGCACACTTGGCTGGTGGCAGCGATGTAGTAACTCCCCAGCACACATGTTAGTGGTTTTGAGGGCTGAATTGGACCTTGAGAATTAGCAGCCTTGTAAGTCAATAACAACATGTCCTAATGAATGCAAGATGTCCCTAGGAAATGAAAGCTCCTCTGCTTGACTGGGAGCCTGTGACTGGGAGAGGACCAGTAAACAAGAAGGAATGTTTCGACTGGAGATGAGCAGGAGATACAAACTCGACGTCTAGAGATTACAAACACACCCCAAATGTGGGTGGTGGCGGCGGGGGGAGCACAAGCCATTTGCAGTTGTGCAATGCAGTGGTGTCTGTCTCCTGGCCATCCCCTGAGTATCCTGTCCATCCCCTGGGTCTCCCTCGGGTGGGCTGGGCTCTGGAACACGGCTAGGAAACCCAGGAATGTCGCTCCTGCCCCTCACCATCACTGTGCAGGGTGGGATGACTCCAGCACCCCCTACCCCCTCCAGAGCCTGCCTTCTGAGATCCCTGTGCCCGCTGTCACCTGTGGCCTGGCTGCTTTCAGCCCCTTCCCACCCTCACTGCCAGTGCTGGTTTCACCATTTAACTTTTCCACATGGAAATTCCTCCCCTTCTCAGGCCTGCAGACATCCCAAGCGTTAGCACCGCTCTGCATCCTGAGTTTTTATCCTCCCACTGCCTCAAAATGAGCAGTTTGATCATTCCCTAATTGCACCCGACACGGACACAGGGCTCTGCTGTGTCAGGAAGCATCAGGAATGTCTGCCCATGGTTCTGGGCCTTGAAGCCTTAGCTGGCTGCCACTGCTACCTCCCCTCTAATGCCCCCCAAAGTGTCCTGTGCCATCCTGGCAGCCCAGTGATTGCTCCCAGGCAGGCAGCTCGCTCAGGTTAAACCCTGCAAACATGGGTGATGCTCAGGGGTGACTCTGTGCCTCGAAGGAATGGGACTCTTCGCCTCCCCCACAGGGCAGCAGCGGTGGGATTTTGGGGTGGGGGTGGCCCTGAGCTGCTCAGCATCACTGGGAGCACTGGAGTTCATGGTCTGCACGTGCAGCCGGGGCTGTGCTGCCTCTCTGCACATCACCCCGGGTCAACCACCCCGTCCTGCCCGGCCAGTTGGCGTGGTGGGGACGTGGGGCCCTGCTGGTAAAACCACTCCAGGACAAGATCTAGGAAAAGGCCAGCCTGGTTTCATGGCTGTCTCCTCCTCCTCGCTCTGAAGGCACTGCAGTTTCAGGTAAGTTTAACAGGTGATTTGTATTCACCACCATTAAGGGCAGTGCTCACCGCTCTGTCCTGCAGGCTGGCTGCACACCACAGGGAATTGCTCGGTGACCCCAAGCTTTCCTCTGCCCAATTATCCTGGTTAGCTTGCAGGCAGCCTCGGGAGCGGGGCAGGGAACAGGTCACACCGAGGGACTCGTCCTCCCGTGCCCCTGCCTGCCCTCAGGCTGGGGGCAGGGTGCTGGGCAGGGGTGGCTCCTGGAGGGTGTCAGGTCACAGCAGCCTCAAAGCCAGTTGGGAAGAGGAAAGTTCCAGTCCTGGGACACCCCTTGAGCACCTGCACTGGTGTGTGGCACACCCTGACCGGGCTGGTGCTGACCAGAGCAGCTGGCACAGGGCAAGCCCTGATGTGGCTCGTGGAGCATCACCAGTGCCGTGTCCCCACAGGACGGGTGACATTCTCCTCACAGGACTTTCTCCTGTGGCCATTGGCACCCTGGGGTACCTGTGCTGAGTGGCCAGAGCAAGTGGCTGGACCTCAGGGTTGCCTCTGGCAGACGGGACCTCGTGGGTCTTGTCCCTCAAACCAACTGTTTGCCCCAAACCTACAGGAGCCCAACGCCTGCAAGACCTCAAGGGCCAGAGCTGTTCCAGTGCTGTGATTCCCATCCAGAAGCCCCAAAAGTGGACATGGGGGTGAAACTGGGAGACCTGAGACCCGCTGCCACCCACGAGCACGTGAGTCCTCGGCAGGAGCGGGGAGGGGGACATGGGAATGGCGGCGTTGCCCAATCCACGCGCATGGAAATGAACTGCTTTGTGCGCAAAAAAAGCCCTGGTCGTGCAGAGGCGCTGGGTGTGTGCGCGTGTGGGTGTTCAGACTCTGCAGGAGCGACCTGGGATGCCTGGAAAAAAAAAAAAAATCTCCTTTGTGCATTTAATTAGCGGTAAACGCCATTTACATGCGAGATGCCTCTCGGTCTGAATCTGCTTGGTTGATTAGCAAACTGCAGCCCGGTTGTGCCGTGCACTGTGTTTGCCTCAGCCCGCAGCGGCGCTGCCCGAGCGCAGCAGAGCTCCCTGCCTTTGCATTTCAAAGCCGGGCAGGGGCCGGGGGTTGTTGCACAACCGGGACGGGACGGGTGCCCCGGGATTTTGGCCCCTGCTCCCTCTCATCCCCACTTTCTTTCCCTGTGAGTTGGGGGCGGTGCAGCCGCTCAATGCGGGATCAGCTCCCTGCTCTGGCGGGAGGTGGGTCCGGCCAAGGAAAATGGGATTGTGCCAGGGCACGGACAGCGAGGGGACAGCTGGGGGACCGCGCTGCTCTCTGGCCGCTGTGCCAAGCAGACGTGGTGCTGCTCCAGCTCTCCCAGAACGCGCTGGTTTTGCTGCCAAACAAGGGGCTTCTCCAGGTGGAAAAGGTCCTGCAGAGTCTCGGTGCAAGCAGAGAGGGAGGCAGAGAGGGGAGCGGGGGTGCTCCGTGGGCACCACTGGAATGGTGGTGCTGGGGTCGGTGCCTCCCTCCTGCCTTCCCACTGTGCATTTCCTCGGCAGTGCCACCCGTGCCACGTCCTCGGCCACGGCAGGGCTGTGACCCCACGGCAGGGCTGTGACCCCACGGCAGGGCTGTGACCCCACGGCTGTTGCCGTCCTGCCGGTGGCTGTGGCCCCGCTGCCCCTGGCAGCTGCCCAGACCTGTGTGTTGCTTCCTGTGGTCACTGCAAACCATTCCCAGGAAACCAGGAGCGTGTGGGTTTTGGTTCAGGTCCCTTTTCAGCTCCTCTCTCCCCTCTGGTGCCTGGCTTCTCCCCATCCATGAAGGATGGGGGGTGGGATGGGTCCTGGGAGATGGGAAGGGGCAAAGCATGGCTGGTGCAGAGCAGGGTGCGAGTCCACAGGGTTGGGGCCCTAAAGGGAACTGCTCCTGCCCCCAGCTCCTTGTCCTGCTCCCTGACATGGCCAGAGAGGCTTTTCAACTGCTTCTCCACCCCTCACAGATGGAGTGAGAAGGGCCGATGGTGAGAAAAGGAGAAAAGGATCTCCCCTGTGTTGCCCAGATTTCCTCCCCCTGCTGCAGAGCCAAGGTTGAAATCAATTCTGCATTTCTACCCTCTTGGAGAGAAAACAGGGGCTTTGTGGGCATTCCCAGCGTGCAGAGAGTGGATGTGGAGTGTTGGGATGGTTGAGCCTGGAGGCTACTGTGTCAAGCTGGACTTGGAGCAGCTCAGCCTTGGCACCGGCCCCACGAGGCCCTGGGTGACAGCCTGTGCTCCCACTTGCCACCTAAACAAAGCAGGAGCCACGAGAGGAGCGTTTCACCCAGTTTTGCCAAGACACAATGAGATGAAAGCAGTTGCCCGAGGTCATTCCATAAATCCAGGGCAGAGCTCAGATCCGAGGGAGCACCCTCCCTGTCCTCAGCCCAGCCCCACACAGCCCATCTGGGGCAGGTTTCTGTCTGCTCATCCTCTCCCTTTGTCTTGTCCATCACTTCCAAACACTCTCAGGTGCTTTGATCTGCTCTCAGTGCCCAGGGCCAGCTTCTCCTCCGCTCCCAGGAGCTGGGCCGGCGGGCACGAGCCCTGCCCAGCCCCAAGGTCTCACCAGCTCCTTCCTAAGCTGAATCCCATGATGCTCTTTTGGCTTCTCCCACCCACTCCAAGTCCTTGTCCCCACAATTAAAGAGGTGCCTGAGGAGGGCAGGAGGCAGCCAAGGTCTTTTTGTTGAGCTGCAGAGGGACAGGGCTTGCTCTGGCCCTGATGCCCAGGTGCTTCAGGTCCTTTTTGAGGAAACAGGGGTGATCCAGGAGCCTTGTTTGGTTCCTGGCAACCACCTCTGCAGGGCTGGGGCAGGGCAAGGGTTCACTGGCAGCAGTGCCCCCTCTGCCCCAGCACGGAGGGGATGGGTGGGCACTGACAGGGAGATGTTGGATTCCCTGCATCCAGGCTCCCCGGGAAAGACCTGGCTTGGGCTCGTGCACGTGGCAAACCCTCTCCCATCTCAGCAGAGCTCAGTTTGACAGCAGTGCTCCGCCAGCTCCCTCTGCAGCTCCCCCTGCCTGACTCAGCGAGGTCCCAGCTGGCCTCTGAGAGGAAAAAATCTGTCCCTGGAGCCACAAACCCTGTGGAGATGAGTAATCCCCTCCCTCTCCAGCTGTCCCGGGGTTCTGGTCGCTGGGAAAGGGATTCCTTGTGTGGCTGCTGGCCCCGGAGTCAAGGGGTCAAGGGGACCAGCAAAGCCACCGTGGTCCAGACAGGATCCCTGCTCCTGACCCTGCATCCCTGCCAGCTTCACTCACGCTCCTCTGGGAGGCCTGGATGCTCCTGCTCCCCTTGGAAGGCTGTTTGGAGCTCCATGACACGTCTGTCCCTCAGCAGTGTCCTGGCTGACAGATGCAGATGTCCAGGTCCTGTGGATGTTCCTGTCCCTGTGCTCAAGTGAGGCTGAGGCTCAGGGGAAAAAAAAAAAAGGCAAAAAGGCTGGATGCAGCCCTGCCATCCCAGTGTGGATGTGTCCTTCCCACTCAGCCCAGCCTCTGCACTGCACATTTCTTACCAGTGACTTTCTGGGCACCTTTCAGCATCCTTCTGTGGTGGCAACTGGCATGGAGGGAGCTGGAATTTCCTCCTCCTGCTTGGTCCAAACCCTGAAGACCTCACTGGAATTTTTAATTTGTTAAATTTTTTTTTTTTTATTATGACTTTATTTGCATTCACTTGGCTTTCCAGACAAGCTTTGGCCAGCGGGGTCGCTGGCATTTGTGGGAAATGAAGCTGGACTCCCCCATGCCTGGATTTTCCTGGCTGAACGTGGGCTCTGGCCAGTCCAGACTCACCCAGTGCCTCACCTGGGGCTTCGGGCTGTGGTTCCTTCCAGCCGCTCATTTTTCATCTCCAGGGCTGAACCTCTTAATACTTTTGTTGGCAAAAGCAGAAAAAAAAAAAAAAAAAAAAGAGGGAAAAAAATGAATCCAGTAAAAACAGCTGATTCAGATCCGCCGTATCTTGATGTGGCAGAAAGAAATTAGTCGTTGCACGTGGGCTGAGAGAGGTTGTTTGTCCAGGAGAACAGGGGAAGGGAACAGCTTCCTTTCCTTAATTCCTTTCCTTTTCTTTTTTTAAATTTTATTTAAATGAAATCTCTTTGCTTGCTGCATTTAGCAGCCAGAAATGCATTGGGACAACTGTGCCAGTGGCTCCTGCTCCCCCAAAGCATCATCTGCCCTAATTCCTCCCTGCTCCATCCCCAAGAACCCTTGGGTGGGCTGGGGGGGGTCCTCAACCCCTTCAGTCTGAGAGGGAACAGCAGCCAATAAAATCAACAGTTCCAGTGGTTTTGGAAGAGCTCTGGCAGCATCTGAGCGGTGGATGGAGAGGAAATAACTGAGAAATAATAGGATTATTTATAATATGTAAGATATTAATGCAATGCAATGTAATATAATACAAATAATATAATATATACTACATACAATACATATAACACAATATAACATAATATAATGCGTTATAATGTTTGAGCCTGACTTCCAGCTCTTTCCTTTAGGCCTAATTCCTATTTTCCTCCAAGCCCATCCCGAGCATCTCCCTGTGCTGCCAGAGCAGAGATTTGTTCTCCATCTGGGAATATTGGTGCCTTCTGGAGCAGCCCTGAACTCTCCATTAGACCAGTTGCTTTCTGATTCGGAGGGGAGCAAAGAGTTAAAATTTATTCCATCCACCTGTATATTTTCCCAAGCCTTCTGATAGCAATCAAGAATGCAGGAAATGGTGTATTTAAGGGGTGAATTTGCCAAAACTGTGCCACAAGTCAAACTTATAAAGCAAAGTTTATTTGTAAAGTTACAGAAGGCTGAAGTATCTCCTGTTGAAGGGGTAAGTCTCTTTAAACCTATCCCGGGATTTTTTTTTTCCACCTCTGCCTTTTAAAATGATTGGGCTTGGGAAGAGGGAGAGGATTCATGAAGAGGGGCTTGGTTTTAATCTAATAAGTGTTTTTTTCCCCTGTAGGCAAGTGCTGGAGCTCATCAAGGCACAGATCAGCCCTGCTGGGTTATAGAGGGACCTTTGACTGTTAACTGGGATCATTTCAGCTGGTTTGGAGCCCTGTGAGGGACCTGACAGGGCTCAGCGATGCCCCAGCTGGGGCTCCCCAGCCCCAGGGGGCTCAGCACCACTGGAATTGGTGTCTATCTCTGCTGGATGGTGGGAGGCTGTGGTGGGGTGCTGGGATGTGCCCCCAGCCACACAAGGACCACGAGTTCTTGCCCGTGAACCCAGCCCGCCCCTGTGTGCTGCTTTCCAGGGATCCTCAAATCCCTAAAGGCTCCATGAGAGTGTTTTATAAACTCTTCCCGTGCTGAAGTGGCAGTCACCTCGGTGGTCACTGCACCCCTAGTGCAAGGGCAGCACATCAAAACTTCATTAGATATTAAAAAATGAATTGTGTTTGCATCCCTGGCGGGAGGTGGGAGCTGGTGTTTGGCTCCTTGTTTGGGAGTCTCGGGGGGCTGGGAAGGGGCTCTCAGGATTCATGGCTTAAACCAGCCATGTCTCCTGTTGGTGATGCCTTTGGCTCCTGGTCACTGCCCACCGTGCCAGGGGAATGTATCCCATCCTTTTCCACCCTGGAGAGGCAGCAGCACCTCCTGCCTACGTGAGCTCTGGCAGGCTCGTGCCAGAGCCTGCTCTTCCCAGCTCCTGCAGCTCTGGGACCTGGGGCAGGGAAATGGGATGGGCAGGGACTGTCACCTGCTGTGAGGGGCTGGGGGAGCCCAGGAACACCCTGGTGGGGGCAAGGCAAAGCCTTAACTCCATGTTGCTTCCCCCTTGGATACACTCCAAGTGGAATGGGCTCATCTCTGCCTGTGGAAGAGCTGGCAAGTGCAGCCCCGTGGCCAAGCTCCCATGGAATGGAACCACATCCCACAGAACACCAGCCCCTTCAGGTCACTGCTGCTCGGACCCTGACACACGCAGGGACACTGGCTCGGGGAGTAGCTCCAAAACCAGCCAGTGGCTGCTCTTCCAAAGGTGTTGGGTCAGCAGGGCAGGGCTGGAGCGACGGCAGCCGTGGGGTTTGGCTCCCGTTGTCTCTGTGCACAGCTCCCTTGGGTTAATCCAAATCCCTCTGGGAGGAATCAGTGATAAACCCAGGCTGGGAGCACTGCAGGTGCTGCCTTGGCACGGGGCAGCGGGGCCGGGCACCCACGGTGGCACCGGGCCACCACAGGCTGGGTGGCCCTTTCTTGGGTGGTGGCTAATGACTTGTAATTGAGATGAGGCTTTAACACCCAGCAGCAGGTGAGCTGGCACACTGGGGAGGGGGAGGGAGCCGAGATAGGGGCGAACACGGCGTGTCTGGGTGCCACGGGCACCGCTGAGCCGGCCCGACCGGTCCAACCAGCCCCTGCCGGGTGCCGGATCCCGGCTGGGCTGACACCTCCTCCCGCTGCCGCGTGCCCGACACCCCACTGAGGTGCACGAGAGGGGGTTGGGGTGGTTTCTTTCCTGCCAGGAAAGAGCACAAAGCCACCCAAAACACCAGCTCGGCTGGGGTTTGCACAGGGAAGAAGAGCTGGCCCTCGGCGAGGCCTGGAGGGTGACACTGGGGTGTGACAGGGGCTGGCTTGGCCTCAGCTGGAAAGGCAGGAGAAGGAGGGAATAAAACCCTTTGCAGAGAACAGTGTGGATGGTTGGGCCCTGGAGACACCAGGCACGATGGGGTGGGAGTGAACCCTGGCTCTGGAAGGGACACATGGCATTGCTGGCACCGAGCAGAGTTGGGTGCGATGGGAAGGGGCATTTTCCCCCAGTTCTCTCTGTGTGAGTCCAGCCCTTTAAACATCACCTTCAAAAATGCAAAGGCCAGAAACCTACTTTACACTCCCTAAAAAAAATCAAATTAAAATACATTTAAAGGCATATGCCATGTAAAAGGGGATTTAGAAAAGCACTCAGGAGCAGGGATGGAACACGGCAATAAAATCATCTCTTTGGGCAAAGACAATGATCTCCACGAAGCCAGTGATGACTTAGAGGGTTGGCAATGCCTCTCAGCTCCCTGATAAAGGTGCTCAGGGAGGTACGTGGGTGCCTGCATGTGCTGGGTGACCTGGCTTCCTCTCCATGGAATAAAATAAATCATTAAAAACCCCCTTTAAGAAAACTGCAGCATTTTCCACACATTTCTTCCCTCCCCCCCCCCCATGAGGTTATCTCCTCTGGTTCCAAAGCCACAAGAAAATATCATCATATTTTTAAACCCAAACCTCAAGGTAAATAAAGGCAAGGGTTTGGATCTGCCTCCAGCCCTCGCCACTTCTATCAGGGAAAAAAACACCAGCACATTTCTCCGCCGATATAAGATAGAAAGGTGGAGAACATTTTTTAAATGTTCTGAAAACATTCCATCATCTATAGCAATCAAAGCCCCATTGAAAGCTACAGAACCCCTCACATTCGAGGGTTTTAATGAAAACCAAATTTATTTATTTTTTTTTTTCAGGGCCTGTGTTTTTCTTTGCGAGGATTTCCAGGGGGATACAACCGGAGCGGGGGGCGGACGCGGGGAGCTTGGCTGGAGTTCCTCCTGCCCCAGTAGGGCTTTCACTGTGGGGGTTTTTAAAATGGTTTAAAGATAACATGGCCTCGTAATTTTTGGGGCTTGCCAAAGTGCTCTGTCTTTGCCCCGGATCAGCGCTGGGTCACTTTTCGCTGGGAGATGAAGGATGGGGCAGGGGCAGGAGGGGAGAGGGGGGTCTTGGGTGCTCGCCATGAGGGGAGGGCTCCCAGGGTCGGGCTGCCAGGCTGCGGGCAGGAAAGCAAAAACCAAATTCGGGGCTTTAACTTTTAACGGTGTGGAGCTGGGCAAAGTGCCTGCCTTCTGTACCAGGGGAAACATCCCACGTGCCACCAACTGCCCGGCCCTGGGAGCGGAAACCTCCACACACACCCTCCTCGGAAAGCAGCAGGGCTTATATCCCCCCCCCCCTAAAATACCCTGCATAAAACCCCCCAGTTTCTCTGGGTCAGCTGAAAGGCTGCTGTTAACAAACGTCTTTTAGGTTTGGTTCTCTTTTTCCCGGTTGCTTTTAGTCCAACTCCACATGGAAGTGAGTTGTCGCCGTGATGAGGACGCTGCTGAGGAGGGGTCGGCAGAGCTGTCCAGTGGCCCCATCCCACAGCAAGGACCTTCCCTCGGGTCTCTCCCTCAGCCATCAGTGCCTGAAATCCCCGGGAGCCACTCCCTGCCCAGCGGGGTCCCCCGTGGGGCACAGGGAAAGGGGGTGGGTGAAGTGCTGTTGCCCACCCAGGCGGGGACGGTGGTGGCGTGGCCGGGGGCTGCGGGTGCTGGACCACACAGCTCCGAGGCAGCAGCAGGGAGGAGTTCAGGGAGCCCTAAAAGCACCCGGTGGCAGCAGGGGCAGTCTGGGGACCCCCAGGTTTCGCAGGAACATTTAATCCCCTCGTTAACGTCCCCCATTAGAACAATTCATTCTTTCACTCCGGCTTAAACACCCAACTTTACTTTACAGCTCATTTCATTTATGACTGAGAAATGAAATTACTGTATCGATTTCATGGCAGACAGTGAAAAAAACCTGGGTGTTCCTGGTCGTAATAAACCCACGGGCTGCAAAGACAAACAGCAAAACCTGCCAAGGGGGGGGGAGGCCGGGCTGCAGCCACCGCAGGGACCCACTGGGAACAGCACCGGGAGCAGCACCGGGACTGGCACCTCCGGGTCCTGCCTCTGGAGCCAAACCCAGATCTGCTGTGGTTGCTTTCCTCTCCGTCTTAAAAAATTCTCTGTATATGTTTGGAGGGACCTGGGGGCTTTGCAAATCGCTCAGATGGAAAGGAAATACGCTGCCTGGTAGCACTGGTGTGAAATATCCCTTCTGGAGCGCGGCCAGAGCCCGGGCGGGGGCTGGAGAAGGGGTTCACGGCATCACCGGAGGGGGATCGGCAGAGCGCTGTGCAGCGATGGAGAACCCGACCTGATCCTTGGCTGCCCACCCGATGGGCATGGCAGTGTGGGCAGAGCCGGGATTTGGGTGATCCAGCCCCAAAAGCTCGCTGGGGTTTCCTTGCCCTCCTGCTTTGCTGGCTGTGGCAGCGCCGTGCCAGGGGCAGGAGTTCAGGGCAGCGCCCTGGTGCTCCCACCACTCTCCCGACCACTTTGCTGCCCCGGTGCCATCCCAGGGATGGTTTGGTTGCCCAAAGAGACCCGCGGGATTTCCAGTGCAGTGTCGGGCCTGCCAGGAGCCTGGATACCTCACCAAAAAAAGCAGCACCCGTATAAGCACCCTGCCTGACCCCCGGGGGCTGGAGCAGTGCGGGGGGCGGGGGGATGGACACTCCCAAACCGCTCCCGAGGCCAGATCCCTCCCCGCCAGGGCTGAGCATCCCCGGGGGAGCAGCGCGTCCCTGCGGGGACCCGGGAGGTGCCCGAGTGGGGTTGGCAGGAGGCGGTGGGTGCTGCCGGGTGCCTCCGGGTGACCCCGGGGGCCGCGTCCCCCGCCACCCCGACGTGTCCCGTCACGCGTGAGCGCTGCCCACGCAGGCAGGTGCTCGCCCGGGGCGCTCACCTGGGGATGCGCCGAAACGGCACCGAGCGCGCACACACACACACACACACACACACACGAGGGATGCACCCGCGTCTCCCCTGCCCGCCCCTCCCGCCCTAATTAAAGCCCGTTATCACCCCATCTCGTGCAATTCCGAGGTTAATGAGGCCCCGCTCTCCGTCCTCCCCTGCCCCGGCCCTTTGAAGTGGAGCTGCTTTCATGGCCCGGTGTCTGACAGCCCGGAGCGCGCCGGGATCCCGGCACCCTGTCGCTCGCATCATTTTTAGCCTCTGTGGGTTAGCCCAAGAATAAAGACTCACCTGAGCCTATTTTAATTTAAACTCTTCTGATCTCCCGGCCCAGCCCAACCTCTGTGCAAGAAAACACCTTCCCTGCATCCCAACCTGCTGCTGGCAGGAATTAACAGTTACACGGGGACACTTGGTTTGTGTGGATGAAGTAAAAATACTGCAGGTGATTAAACTGCAGAACGGCACGTGAGGTGTTTCAGGGGTATTTTGAGCCGGAGTTCTCGGGGCAGCCAGGACTGGGGGTGTAGGTTTGGGTGCCACTGGGATGTGTGCCCAGAGACGTGGCCCCACTTGGGGGGTGGAGAGGGATTCAAGGAGGCTGAAGAGGGAACTCTGTTTAAATCTGGCACTGGGAAAGATTCCTGAGCTGGGCAAAAATATTTGGGTGCCTAATTCCCACCAGCTTTTTTTTCCTGTTTTAGCCTTAATCCCAAACTGGCTTGAAGGAGAGATTCCCAAGGTGGGCAGCTGGGATGGCATTGTAGAAGAGCCCCAAGCCACTGAAAATTAACCCAAATTGGTCCAACTGGACCGTTGCCCACCCAGGAGAGCCATGGTGCACCCCAAGGAAGGAATAAGCCCTTGGAGTCCTGGCTGCCCCCGCAGCCTTGGCCTTGGTTGCCCCCTCCTCCCCAAAATCTGGTGTCCAAAGCCCAGGACAGACATTCCTCAGTCCTATGCCTGGGAAGGGGGTTGGGCTGGTCCAGCTGGGAACAAGCAGGCACCGGGGATGAGCTGAGCAGCAAGGGTTTGTTTGTTGTTGGAATCCTATTTATGGGCAAACATAGCCTGATTTTTTTTAAATTTTTGAATTGGAGACAGTCCTCTGCAATACATGGAAGGATTTGGGGTTGATTTGAGCTGAAGGAGCCGTGGCACAGGGCTGGATGGTGGTGTTGGGGCGGGTTGAAGCTGGGGAGAAAACCCCAACATCCTGAACAAAACAGCTCCTGTGACCCTGGAATGATGTTTTTATTGGATTGGTTTTGTATTGCACCAAACTTGGGAAATTCTGAGTGATCAGGAATGAAGGATTGGTGTTTTGTTTTTTTTTTTTTTGTTTTACAGTTTGGGCACTGGACCAGCCCTCCACCCTTGCTCCTCTCCCAGCTCCCATCCTCGCCAAACCTTCTGCCAGCCAGCACTGCAGGAACAGCCAGACAGGGATCCTGGCCAGCAGGTCCTGGATTGGTGGTGGATTTGCCCTTCACAGGCCTTGGGTTAAGAGCTCCTGCCTTTCCAAAGGGTGGGAATGGCACTGGTGACCAGCATCAGGGCTGGCCCCGAGGGGTGGGAAGGGGACAGAGCCCAGCGAGACCAGGTGAAAGGGGACAACAAGATTTGAAAAGCCTGTGAGAAGCAAAAGGTCTCCCTTTTGTTCCTATCTGGGAATTAAATGGAGAGAAAAAACCCCCATGTACAAAATATACATACAAATATATATAAATATAGATCTCCCCCAAGGCGTGAGGTCCCGCTGAGTAAGTGGATGTGAATGACGTGTAACCAAACACTTTCCCAGACACCCTAATGAATTTTCCATGTTTTCCATCATTTAGCTTCTAAATAGGCAGCATTCACAAAAACACCCACCCCAACCCCAACAAACCCCCCATCCTTTCCAGGAGGAGGCCCTGCAGAAGGGTTAACCCCCCACAGATGCCCACGGAGGTGATGCCAAAGTGGGAATCTCACGCTGGACCAGGAGATGGGTGTCCCTGTTTGTAAGTTTAGGAGGTCTCTAGGAGTGCAGGATGGGTGTTCTCCACCTCTCTTTGGCCCTATTTCAGAGGAGCAGGATTGGGCCTTAGTGATGCTGATTGCTCATTTGTGCAAGGGTCATTAAGGGCTTGATGAGGGCAAGGAATGGTGTGGCCAAGGCAAGAGCCAGGATCCTTGTCCTGTATTCTGCGTAGCCTTCAAATCTTTGCAAGCTAAAAGATTATTTACTGAGGCAGTTTGGACACAACAGAGTCATTAAAATAGAGGCTGGAGTTTAGAGCTTGGTCTGGAATGAAATGTAATGAGATTTTTGCTGAGACTTTTGTTAGTTCTGATCTCAAAGGAAATAGTCTTCATTTTTCCTAGGAGATTTTTTTAGCCCAAACTCCAAGCAATTTAATATCTGAATGCTCAAAAAATAGTCTTCCAAGCTCCAGTGATTTTTTTTTCCCCTCCTTTCAGTTTTCTGTTGCAAAAGAAAACCCAAACATTCCCGCTCTGGCTGCCCCAAGCTGTTGCTTCCAGTCCTGTTTTCCAGCATCCCCCTGGAACAGCAGGAGCTCTTGTGTACTCAGGAGCCTTTGGGAGAGGCTGGTGCACCCCACATCCCCACATTGCCATGCTGGGGTCCAGCTTTCCTATTTAAATTCATTAAATTGGTGCAAAACTTGTGTATAAGCAAGATGCAGTGGCAGCACGCTGGATGCTGTGCATGGTAGGTGGCCCACATAAAAATATCACCTATATAAAAACACCACCCATATAAAAACATCACCCATATAAAAATATCACCCATATAATAATAGTAATAATAATAATAATATTAATAATAATGCCCATATAAAAAGAATGCCCATATAAAAATAATACCCATATAAAAATAACACCCATCTGGCTCTCAGGTGTTGGGTGTATTTAATACCATCACCTCCCTGGGCCTCCCAGCTGGATTTTAGCTGCTGCCATGTCCCCCCTGCACTGCTTTGGTCCAGCATCTCCTGCTCCAGCCACATCCTCACCCCCTCTGCCATCACCCCATGGGTACCAGCACCAAAACCACTTGGCAGAGGGCTGGCACCCCCTTGATTCCATGGATCCCATGGACAACCCAGTGCATATCAGTACAACAAAGCCCTTGTTATTAATCCCTCTTTTTCTTTTCCCTTTCCTTCCCTTTGCAGCTTTAAATGAGGCTGCGAGAAAAGCACAGCTCAACTTGGAACAGAAAGTTCCTGTAAATAACAGCTACACCTCGGGGTGTTTCCTCTCCCAGTAGCTGTGAAGAAAAAGGCAGCTATGTCTTGGGTTTGCCTTGGAACACATTTCCGCTGGCCAGGGCTGTGGAGCCAGGGCTGAGCATTTATTGTGGTTTGGTTTGGGCTTTTCCTAATTTTTTTTTTTCCCCCTCTTTCCATGCAAACACTGCTGAGGGCTTTGCCTACAGAGATGCTGCAAAGAGGAGGCAGAGCACTGGCTCCAGCACGTCCTCCCTGCTCTCGGGCACGGCGCTGGCATGGCCCCGGCGTTCCTTCCCCGGGATCATGAATAACTCCGGCGCTGAGTGACTCGGCTCCTCGGGAGCCCCAGCCTGCAGCGCCTTGGCATGGGATGCTATTGTAGGCTGGGATTCTTTCATTTCTGCCTTTTCAGTCATTTGGGTTCTGGAGGCGAGTGGTGAGTGCTAAAGGGTTTGGGCTTGGACCGCCTGGGAGTTTGGGTCCCGCCGAAGATTTGTGCTGGAGCTTTTGTGGCTCGGGAAGCGGCGCGGCGATGACAGGCGGAGGGCAGGGAGCGGGATGCTTGGCTGGGATGCAGGGATCACCTTGCCAGGTCTACCCCAGAGCAGGGTTAGTGGTCCAGACCCACCCTGGAGAAGCACAAAGGGGTTTTCTCAGAGCTTGGGTCCCCCAGCCCCTCACATCCCTGCCCGCCCTCCTCCCTGGGCACCCTTGCGATGCCTCCTTGGGCCAAACTGCGATTGAGACCAGCCATGAACCCCCCTCAAACACCACATCTGGGCACCGTGGTGCTCAAAGAGGTGCCAAAATTAGACCCTGGACAAAAAGCAGCGTGAGGAACCTTCCTCTGGGGCGCGGCACAGACCTGCTCCCTGCAGCGAGAAGTGAGCAGGCGGAAGGCACCGGGGAGACTTGTAACCATACGTTTATTATTCCACATGGACAGTCATTAACATGATTACATGGAGGCCTGGCTCTAGAATCACGTACATTGGATAAGAACATCGACACCGTTACCAGAGAAGCAGAACTGACCACTGTGCCATGGCTTCGACCCCCCGCCATCCCCACCCGCTCCCGACAGAGCCCGACTGTTCTCAGGGAAGTCACAGCTTCTTCCAATGACTTCAACAGGAGCAGACCCTCCTCTTCCTCTCCCTCCCCGCCCCCCCTCCCCAGTGACAAGTGCTACAGGTTAAAAAGTTGGGCTACATATTAAATATAGGGCATTACCTTCAAGTAGGGCTGGTATATTACACAAATAACCACATTTTTTGGTATCACTAGCATTTTTTTTTTAATGTCCACTGTAAGACATCATTAAAAAAAACCAAAAACTTCAGCCTTTTTTATCTACAAAGATCTTTGTTCTCATCTCCTTAGTCTGGTGTTATTTTACCCTGCACGTACAAGTATTAGAAGCATTATTAAGAATCGTATCCTTCAACACACTTAAGAATTATATTATTATAACAAATAAGACCAAAAATTAGATTTTATAGTTAAATATTCTGTGAGCCAGACAAAGGGGTTTTACTGTACAAGCGATTGTGCATTTTTTTAAAAAAGCAAATTATAGTGCAAAGCAAAAAACATTGGCCTGTCTCGTGACCATTTGCATACAACAGAGGTGCATCTATTTACACCTTCACATGACAATATGTCATAAAAACAACATCGTTGCCATTCTTATTATTTTCTCTTTTAAAATTCATTACGAACAGTCTTAAATTAACCTAGTACTACGAATGCCTTGTTTCCTTTGTGCTTTCAGTCAGTGGATGACAAACGTAAATGCATCAAACACAGGCTGCCGTGGTCCAGTTCCGGAGCCGGCGAGCGCCGGCGCGGTGCCTGCTGGCGCTAAGGCAAGTGAAGGTTGCAGTTTTGCTGGGGTAAGGCTTTTTATTTTTATTTTTATTATTATTATTATTATTATCATAATTATCATTATTATTATTATTATTTAAAAGAGTTGTTCTTCTTGTCGCTTACGGAACTCGTGAGTGGTCATCGCAGCTTTCCAACCAAGCCGGGATGTCTTGCTCCAGTCTCGACGTGGTAGTGCAATTACAACGCTCTGTGCCTCGACCGAGGGCTGACAAGCTGCCAGCTGAGATTTGGGGACAGGTGACGTGGCTGTGATGGTGTGACTGAGGCAGAGGGGCCCAGGGGGGCAGCTGTGGGGTTTCAATTTTCTGATGTTCACGGTAAAAAAATAAAAGACAAAGGCTACTGGTGGCGCTGGGGGCTGGGACTGTCCGTGTCCCCTCGCTGCAGGGGAGGCTCTGGAGGGCAGTGGGTACTGCAGTTACACATTCCCCAGGAACCCATCCACACACCCTCAGCCCTGCCAGGGTAGGGAATCATGAATCCAGTCCCAATTCCCATGCCAGCATAAAGCCCAGCTGGCTTGCAGGAGGTGACAAACCCTGCACTGTGCATCAGAGCCAAACCACTGACCCCGGCTTGGAGGAGCCCAGACAGCCCCTCCAGCTGCCTACGACCTCCCATCATGGCCCTGTTTGGTTGCAATGTCTTTGGTATCAGCTACAAGGGTGCCTGGGAGAGCTGGTTCCTCCAAATGCCACAAGATGCAACCGGTCATTGATGGGCCGATGGTACCTTTAGTGCCCCTTCTTCAGCTTATTCATCTACAGCAAGATACCCATGCTCTGGGCCACTTGAGGGGGAGGGAAGGAGGGTGAGGGGATGGAAAAGACTAGATAACATCACTTCACAATATTCCCAACCACCAAGTGTAAAAAGTGCTCCTTTCTCCAAATCTCAGTTAGAGCTTTCAGCATGAACCAAGTGTAAATCAAAATAAAAAGTCATCGTGTCAATCCACTCTGAGTGAAAACGTGGGAAAGAATCATAACAGAATAATGATGCTTTGCCACCAGCTGCATGTGTTGCCACTCAGAGAGGAGGAAAGAAGACCCAGAGAGCAGTGGCAAGGTCATGCCAAAGGCCCCCGAGTCCCTTTTGCAGCTAACGCGCTTGGAAGTGCATCTCATCCGTCTTGGATTGTCCTGAATGCCACCTTCACTTCAGCCACCATCACTGAGATCTACTAAGAGGAGCAGAGAACTGAGTGGTGAGGTCAGGACAGAAGAGCAAACAAAAGAAAACAAAACACGTCGCGTAAAAAAGTACATCTCGTGTGTAAACATAGAGAAAAGGGGCCGGTCAGGCACGGGATCAGCCACGTTACTGTTTTAAAAGTGACGACAATGACAAAAAAAATGAACAATACAACCTCTGTCGCCAACAGCAAATAATAATAATAATAATAATAATAATAATAATAATAATAATAATAATCACATCACAGCTCCTGTTCACGTGGCTGACGCCGGCCCAGCCCCGCCGTGCCCGATCCCCGCGGTTGTGCTGTAAACCCGACTGCTCTGGCGTCGTTCCGGAGCTCTTTGGTGGTCAGGGACCCTACACCAGTGGGAAGGGAAGGAGAAGAGACAATGGGATTTTTTTTTTTCCTTTTTTTTTTTCCCCCCCCCCTTTTTTTTTTTTTTCTCAGTTCAGTCCTCTTGCTCTGGCAGAGAGATGGTTTGGGCAACTCCCTGGTCTTTTCTCTTCTCTGAATCATTTTGCAGAGGAAGGGTGAAGCTTTTCTTCGCTCTTTCTGAGGGGAAGAGGTGTGAGTGAGATGACTGAGAAGTGTTCTGCGAGTAACAAACATCTGATTCCACATGTCCTTTTTTTTTTCCCCCCCTATGTACAATCCACATACTTAAGACACACAAAGGGAACCACATCAAGCCTCGTGGATGTTCATCTTGAAATGTAACGTAGGTCCTGGTCCGTCTTTGCTTGATGTTTGCCCGTGCTTGCATGCAGAGGATCCTGGTTTGCTTTTGGCCTGGGAGACTTTGGTTTAGGCATCACTTTGCTCTGGTCACTACCAAAAGGAGCAAAAGGTGGCTGATTGAGTTAAAAGACATTGGTGCACAGCTGAGTTCCTCCTAGTAGGGTCTCCAGACCGACTCATCCATCCTCCCAGTAGTCGTCATGGTCGTGGGTGAGTTACTGTGGCTCCCGTCCGCGTCCACCCCGTCGTTCTGATTGCCCAGGGTGGGATTCATTAGGTTGTTCCCTGCTGAGGCGCTTGTGCAGGACGAGAGCATCCGGGTGGGCGAGCGCTCGCCGCCCGCCACCATGGAGAACTGGTAGGAGCCCGAGGACGTGCCGTAGTACAAATGGTAGGGAGAGGGGTTGGCCTGGAAGGGTCCGCTCTGGTTCTGCGTGGAGCCGGGGTAGGGGGGCGGCAGGTAGGTGTGGTGGAAGCGTGTCGTGGTGGGCATGCTGGTCATGCTGATGCCCCCGATGCCCGTGGCCGAGGGGGTGGCGGTGTAGGGGAAGGCAGCGGACATGGCGCCGGGATAATGCATCCGTGGGTCGGAGAACCTGGTCTCGGTGAGCGCCGGCAGCGTCGGGAAGGAGCGGTCGAACTGCCGGGGGTCAGAGAAGGGGCTCAGGTCTGACGTGCCTGTTGGGGCGGAGGAAGAAAGAGGGTGCTTAGAGCACTGTCCTTGAGAGTTTGTCCTACAGCCCCCTGCCCTAGGAATTAAAGTCAGAAGGAAAAGCATCTCCTGGATCTGCCAGGGAAGAGAGCTGGGGGACTTAAATAAAAATAAAATAAAAAAAAAAAATCCCAAACCCGTTTGTTTAAGTTGTTCCCATTTCCTGTCCTCAAATTTGTTGTTTCCTATCCAAGAAGGGACACGACTAAGCTGAGCTTCTCTAAGGGGTCTATTCATCTCCGGCAGATTAAAAAAACACACCCCGTAAACACAGAAAAAAAATGTTTAGCCATTACATCAGCTGTGTAGTAAATAAATGGATGCAGGCCCCAGACGGCCAGTCCCTGGGATCCTCCGTGGTGTATATACACACACACAGAGACAGGGAGGAAAAGCTGGAGCCCAGACCAGCCTGCTAAGCCTTCTTGTGGGTGGCCTGTTCGTGCTGATACCATCAGGGGATGGAGCTGATAAACACACAGCTGAAAACTCCCAAGCTAGGAGCCACAATATCCCTCTGCTTGAGTTCTCTGTGTATTTTTCTCTTTCCAAGAGGATAAAGAGAGTGAGAAATTCAGGCTTTCTTCTGCTGGGGGAAGGGAGACTCGGGGCAGCGCAGCGGGGACGTTACCCAGCTCCATTGGATGCTGGAGCCCCCCACACCTTTTCTTGGGGGATCTATAAACACAGGGCATCACAGTCAGCTTGGAACTGGAGAGGGACCTTTGCTCAGTGTTCTTGGATCCCATCCTCCTGTGGGGAGCCCAGGTTAGAGGTGAGAATCCAAACCAGCAGATCCTTTGAGGACCTCAAGGTGTTCCTGTGGTTCTCTCAGCTGTCCCAAGTCCGGTGCCATTCCTTTAAAAGTCCAGAAACCTCCAGCCTTGGTGCATCAAGACAGACAGAAATGAGTTTTGCTCCCCAAAGAGAGAAGCAAAACCTCTGTACTTGAGACCTCCACAGCCCAGGCCAAGCTCCAGCACTGGGTCTGCACAGGGCACGTCTAGAAACACTGTGACTGCACCTTCCTCAGCCTTGTGACACTCCTTGTGAGATGAAAATCTCTTGAAAGAGCAATTCTAACCCAAAGCTGATGCACTGAGCTCAAAGCCCTGCCCAGCTGGGGGTGGCTCTCCATCCTTTCTGATTACTCCCAAGACCCCTATTTTTCCCTTGTTAAAAGCAGGGCCTTTCTGCTTTGGTAGTGGAATCCAGCCCCAGTGACTTCTTTTGGTCACGTCAGCTGGATTTTGAATCACTCGGAGCAAGAGAAGGTGAGGTGAGTATGCTAAACATGCTTGTTGGGCTTGGACATGCATATACATACAAACTCACATTCACAGGGTTGGGTGTCTGCTCTGCATGCACAAGGATGTGTGTTTTATATATATATTTATTACAATGAAGCACTTTTAACTTCTCAGGGCTGGAGTTCCAGGCCCTGAAGCATTTCCCCAGGAAAAAAACACTTCAGTTAATCCCTTCCAGCTACCTGGTGACACGGGCACGCTCCGGAGGGGCAGGTAGGGAGGGGATTTGATCTGAACCCTCTTTCTAATCCCGGGTGAGTCCTTCAGCCACCGGCCGCTGGAAGGAGGAGGGGGGAGGAGGTTCCTCCCTCCCCTGCAGCCCTTTTGCGGGCGATGGGCAGCGCCTGCCTTCCCACGCAGGCTCCACGGAGGGGAAAGGCGGGGGAGCACCTGGTTTGTGAACGTGGCTGTGGCTTTGGTGCGAGATAAGAGAGGAGCAGCCCTGAGCTGTCACGAACCACACTGCTCTGCTGGAAAAGCCGACTGTGGAAGCGGCTGCCTGGCCACAGGGCTGTCCTTGCTCCACGCCGTGTGCAGGGGTAGAGTGCTCGGGATGGCTGGAAAAGCACGACGCTGTGAAAAGTGCTCACAACTGACCGAGCCGACCTGATTTCACATCCCAGCAGGACGCTCTGCCCCATCCCAAAGCCGGGCTGCTGCAACAGCGGCACCAAAATACTGTCAGGCACTGGGAGCTGAGGTTTGGAGACCAGCTCTGCAAGAAGCAGGTTGACCAGAGCCTGTAGCTTTAGCAATCCAGCAGCATCACAGCACAAGGTGGGACCACGGGACAAAAATCCTGGCTGAACGTGGACTGGAAAGAAAAAGTGCTATTTTCTGAACAAAATGCCTCTCCTTACATGCAGCAGCTCTGCCACTGCTGGTTTGCCATACACTGCGAAAAAAGCAGCCTCCAAACCCCCCCAGTCCCCAGAAAACCCAGACTGGCGCTTGCTGCCTTCCCAGATGACAATCTCCAGCGCTCAGACCGTGCTCCTTCGTTAGCTTTCACAGGCCCATAAATAATATTCCATAAAATGCAAATCGAAATCAAACCTAAGTGCTCAGGGCACATTTCCCTTTTCCTCTATAACACACTCAAAGGTTTGTGTTTGGTTTTTTTTTTTGTTTACAGGCTACGTTTTATTGGCCTGAATTGGCACCGTTTGGCAACGGGTCCTTGCTACTAATTCAGACAGGAGTGTGTAAGAGTGTTCGTTACAGGCTGTGAGTGTGACGAGCACAGCACAGCGATGCCGTGGGGTCTGGAGGCACTCAGCTATCGCCCGAAAAACACGGGTGGGCAGCGAGGGAGCTCTGCCAGGGTCTGATCCCGGACAGAGGGCACTCTGCAGGCTTGGGATCCATGAATTTGGAGCGTGAATCCCTGAGAAAGCAAATCCCTCAGTGTAAACCCTCAGTGTGAATCCACATCCAGCAGAGCCACGGGGCACCCAGCCCGCCGTGACCAGCTCGCTTTCATCTCCGCCGGCCTTGGGCTCCAAAGTCTGGCCCAGAATAGAGCAACAGCTCTCCCCGACCAGTCTGAGGCTAAAAATAAACCCCAAAACCACCTCAAAAACAAAACCCCACTTGTGTATTTCGCCGCTGTGTTATCTGGGTCTGTATGGGGGGGGGGGGAGCGGTTCAGCCTTGCAGACACCGGGCTGTGCCGCTGTATAACGCCGGTCTCTGTTCCACCATGGCCCCCCCGGTGGGGACGAGCTGCACACCGCGGCACCCCGGCGGGAGAGCGGTTCCCCCCGGGGGGTTCCTGGTCCTCCGTGTCGCCCACGGCCCGGCCCGTGTCGGCCCCGGTGCCCCTCAGGGGGCGGGCGGGCTCCGCGGTCCCGCCGCCAGCAGGGGGCGGCTGCGGGCGGGCGGCGGGAGGGAGGGAGGGAAGGAGGCGGCCGCTAGAGGGGGTTCCGCCATCGCCTCACCGCTGTCACCGCGCTGGGAGGGAGGGAGGGAGGGCGGGAGGCGGCCGCTAGAGGGGGTTCCGCCATCGCCTCACCGCTGTCACCGCGCTAACGCCCCTCCATCTCGGGCACTTCACCGCAGGCCTTCCCCTCCGTCCCGTCTCCTTCACCTCACGACAGCCCCCTTCCATCTTGAGGGTTTCACCCCTCCGTCCCGTCTCATTAGCCTCAGGGCTGCCCCTCCGTCTCGGCCGCTTCACCGCCAGCTCAGCGCTGTCACTTCACAACTGCTGCTTCCGTCTTGGTCCTCACCTCAGGGCTGCCCCTCCACCTCCGACCTCACCTCAAGGTTTCCCCTCTGTCTTGGTCCTTGCTCAAGGTTTTGCCTCCATCCTATCTTCTTCATCTTGGAGCTGCCCTTCCATCTTGGCTCCCTCACTTCAGGGCTGCCCCTCCACCTCAGTCCTCATCTCAGGGTTTCCCCTTCATCCCATCTTCCTTCACTTCACAACTGCCCCTCCACCTCAGCACTGTCACCCCACAACTGTCCCTCCATCTTAGTCCTCACCTCAGGGTTTCTCCTCCATCCCATCTCAGAGCTCCATCTCCATCTTGGCTCTCTCATCTCAGGGCTGCCCCTCTAGCTCAACCCTTAGCTTAAGGTTTCCCCTCCATCCTGTCTTCTCCACCTCATGCCTGCCCCTCCACCTCAGTGCCCTCACCTCAGAGCTGCCCCTATATCTTGGCCCTCGCCTCAGGGTTTCCCCTCCATCCCATCTCATTCACCTCACAACCTTCCCTCCATCTGGGTTCCCTCCCCTCAGGGCTGCCATGGATCCACACAGATTGCAACCACACAGCCCCGTTCCCACTGCCCTGGCCAGGGGCATCATCCCTCCTGCCCTGCTTCCGCGGAGATCTCCACTGAAACAGCCCCAGCAAGGTCCAAGTAAAACATCGCCATTAACACACCCCCATAACCACCTAACTCAGCAGCGAGCAACCCTCTGGCACACTCAGCCAGAATCAAACAGCAACCTGGAGCGAGCAACATGCTGAGAAAATGTCGGAGAAGAAGGAGTGGGTGAAGCTGCACCCTTGGACTCCACATTCCCTTAGGAATCACAGCTGAAAATGGGCTTTAAAAGCCCCATCTCACTGTCCCCTTCCCCGCTGCATCTCACACACATCTGCTCCATAGTTCTGCCTCCGAGGATTTACTACAGTTTCCCTCTCTTACTCTCCGTCCAGCCCCCATTTGCTTTTTTGGACCCTGGCAATCTGAGCTTGAGTATTTCAGTTGTCCAGTTGCCAATCAAAATATTTGAAGGAAATGTTTATTTTCTTCTCGAAATCACACCAGCTGCTGCACTAACTGAATAAGCCCATTTAGCTGTAAGAATTTAACCATTGTAAGAGTGAATTGAGTCCCCCAACTACTCCAAAATCTGACCCAATCTATCAGCGGAAATGTCAATGTTTTGGATGGGAGTTTGGGGAAGTGTGGAATGTGTATTAAATAAAAGCCATGTAAAGGTCAAAGCCCTGATTAGTAATGCCACTGTGTCCTCCTTAGGGCTGAGCTGCCCAGGGGACCTCGGAGGCCAGGACACACCCTGTGATTTAATTGTGCAGCTGCAATTTGCACCTTTCAAGGACCCCCAAGTCCTCCTGCACGTGGAGCTGGATAGAAACAGGCTTTGAAAGCTGCTCAGCCCCTTTCCAGATAAAACAACA